TTTTGCAGGTTAGAACATGAGCCTTCTTCAGAATTGACTAGAAGCTTATATTGTGAACAGTTTGTCTGAATTTTTAGATCCCTTACCTTAGCAACAGCAGCAGATAATAAGGGTGGGTCCTTTTTGCTCAGGTGAGCAGTTATTGTGTGGATCTTTTATGGGCATACATGAAAAGATAACCTTTTTGCCCATGGTTTGGGCCATAAGCTGGGAACAATTGGCTATAAATCTTGAACAATTAACTTAACAGTGTGTCACCCAAGATGTGACTGAATTCTATCCATCGTCATCGTAAACCAATTCTGGTTGTTCAGCCTAGTTCCTTTTTTTCCCGATTCCCTTAACTATACTTTTCCTCACCAACACAGAGTAGAGAAATAAGGTATAGATTTGAAAGAATCCTGAGGGTTAAACTGATTTTGTAACTTGTCAGTCCCTTCATCTTACAGATAAAAAGATAGAGGCCTTAAAGAATTAAAATTCATAGAACACATAATTAGCCGAGATGAACATTGTATGTTCTACTTTTACTTAAGTGTACAGCACTCCCTGAAGCTCATTCTTTTTTCCCATCCTGCACACTTCTCTCTCCATATAAACACTCTAGGTATAAAGGTAGAATGCTTCTAATACCTGTTCAGTCAACCAGAGTACATATTGTCAGGGTAAAAAGTGTGATGACTTTCCCAGCATCCCCTTTGACACTATTAAAAGACTTGCTGCTAATGTATATTGCAGTATATTCTTTATTCTCTGGTCACTCAATCCCAGATTGCATGAAAGATTAGAGATGCAAACTTGCAGGTAGAATTTTTTTCTTGTTGGCGTTTTCCCTTATTGAGTCATCTGGCTTTCACTTGCTGAACGTTCTGTGTAGTTAGGATTTAGTCATGATATTATCTTCCCACCCCACCCCACCCCCAGGCACCTGGTTTTTATTTTATCTGATTCTTGATTGGAATGGCTCTTTACCTAATGAATATTTCCTAAGGAAGGATTGCTATAAAGGAATCCAGATGTTTAAAACTACCATCACAAACTCCAAAGATATTTGGTGTTACATTTTTTAAAGTTTAGAGCTCCCCCATGTGGTGCTTCTAGAGTTTGTTTACGTATTTCTAGTTGAGTTTTCTCTTCTCACTGCCTCTTCCATAAATGCCTGAACAGATTTTCTATAGCCTTAACTCTTCAGGTCTTTAGGTCTAGAGTGTTCAACTTACGGAATGGTCTTAAGTTTTTAGGTTCTATGTCTAAGTAGCACTGAAGGAGCAACACAACCACTAACCATAAGGCGTGCAGTTCAAACCCACCAGCCACTACTCGGAAACCCTATACAAGGTTGCTATGTATGAGTCAGAAGTGACTTGATGGCACTTAACAACAATGAACAGCAGATCTAAGCTGCATCCTTTTGGACCCTTGCTCTTAAATATACCCACTTTAGGCAAAAAATAGCTTACACTGAATGCTTTTATTCAGGGTCTTTTATGTACCTTCTCCCTAAATCAATCCCATTTGAAGTTGCCAAGAATCTGTTTCCTTGAAGTGTTTCCCTTCATGCTGTGGAAAAACCACTTATGGTTTAAAAGCAAATACAAATGTGCCTCGTTTTATGGTACTTCATTTTATTGCAATTTAGATACGGGTTTGGTTGTTTTTTGTTTTTTGTTTTTTTCTATAAATTGAAAGAGAGCTTGTGGCAACTTTGCATTGAGAAGTGCTTTTGTGTCAGGTTTCCAACAGCATGTGCCCACTTGGTGTCTCTTTCAAATTTGGTAACTCTCAGTGATTTACAGTGCTGTGACACTCTATAAACTAGTATGGTTGGAGCTGGTTATGTGCCGTGGAGTCGGAACCGACTCATAGTGACACCCTGTACAGGATTTCTGAGGCTGTAAATCTTTACGGGAGCAGAAAGCCTCATCTTTATCCCGCGGAACGCCTGGTACTTTCGAACTGCTGACCTTAAGGTTCACAGCCCGATTTGTAACCACTACACTACCAGAGCTCCTTTAAACTAGTATAGTATAAACATAATTCTTATATGTGCTGGGAAACCAAAAACTAGCCATTGATCTGGACCTGAATCTGCAGTATGGCAGTTCAGTTTGCAGTTATAGTTAACTATGATATGTTCCTGATTTTCCATTTTTGCAAACAGCTTTTGGTTTTGCATTGTTGAAGAAGGGTTACAAGGAATTATCTGTCATGCTGTTGTGACCCGATACCACATGTAGGTTATTCCAGCCAATTTAAAATTTTTAATATAACAATATGAATTGGTACTGAGTCCTAAATATTTAGTTTTATTCAAAATAGGGCTTGTATCAGGGAAGGATGCTGAACACCTAAATATCTTCCCTAAATTGGATATGTTCTCAGTATGTCTAGCATTATAGCTAGACATACTTGGGTGAAGGATTTGAATTATAAGAAGACCACGTGAGATTCTAGAATGATATAAGCAGATGTTGAAAGTGTTGTGTCACTATTAACTCCTGAAAACTGACCCTAAACACAAGTGTTTTTCTTCATCCTGTTACTATAGTTCGTTTCTGCTCCTTCAACTCCCTTGTTTCAAACTGCATCACCTCTTTGTGGAATGGCCTTCACGTTTAGTAGAGAAACTCCGGATTATTTTAGAGTAAATCCAAGTCTTGGTGTGGTGCTGTGGGCAAATACTGCAAAGTTATTTGAACTGCAGGGTCGTCAGTGGTTCAAGTTCACCAGCTGCTCCTTGGAAACCGTACACAGGGTCGCTATGGGTTGGAATCGACTTGATGGCGGTACTTAACAACAATGGTTCCATTGACTTGTCTCAGGATTAGCTTCATTTGTCTCATATAAAAGTTTCCTAAGTTGGTGTTTTTTTCTGCAATTGAGGAGAGGAGCTAAATTGCACTGTATTTTAACTGCAGGGTCTGTGGTTCAAACACACCAGCCGCTCTCCTTGGAAACCTGTAAGAGTGTGGGATGTTGAAATGAACTCAGGCGCATGTAACAACAGTATACATTTTTGTGCATTATGGTCACTCTGAGGAGCCTTTAGAGTGTGTTTCATATTTGAAACTAAGGTTCCAAATAACATTTTGAAAGACACCGACAGTTGATAACCAGATGTACTCTTATTTTTCTAAGTTCTGAGGTAATCTGCCTCACAAAGTGTTAAAAGCATCGTGGTACTGAATAATCAAAGTAATCTTTAAATGCCTCCCTTGGTATTAAACACTGACCATCTATTCACTTCACATTCCCCAAAACAGGCTGAAAATTTGGGGGTGAGGTGTACCTGGGCACTGGAAAAACTAATTTTGAGTTCTTGTTTGTTTCTGTGTTACAGGCTTTCCTCGGAGACGGGTGGCATGGGGAGCAGCTAGAACAATGCAGATTCATCCATAAACCCTTTCTGCTGTTCACCACCACCCATGATCCATCTGTGTAGTTTCTGAACAGTCAGCGATTCCAGGTTTTAAATAGTTTGTAAATTTTCAGTTTCTACACTTTATCATCCACTCGTGATTTTTTAATTAAAGTGTTTTAATTCCTTTATCTGTTCAGCTGTTAAATGCTGAGATCCATATTTAGTTTTATAAGCTTCTCCCTGTTTTTTGTTTTGTTGTTGTTTTTTTTTTTTTTTTTTTTTGGCTCATGAATTTTTTTTTTCTGTTTGTCATGGATATGTAAGAGTGGAATATTAATACATTTCAGTTTAGTTCTGTAATGTCAGGAATTTTTCAAAAAAAAAAAACAATTAAAAGATGGACTGGAGCTTTTCCTTTGTGAATAGAAACTGGATGCCACTGATTCATATGGGTTTTATTCTTCTTGTCTTGCTGTTATTTTTGTACTTTTTATCTCAAAGGACAAGGAACCTGCTTGGGCTTTTAATAGAATCCTTTATTCCAGTTAAGGTGTTTATTTCTGTTTTGCCACTCCCATTTTTTTTTTTTGGTGGCCCTTAATCCTAATTGCCCTTGAACCCTGCATTGCAAGCATGAGCTAATAGCTGTAGCAAGCTAGCTGTGCCCGTGGTTGGTCCCTGTTGTAAAAGTTGTTCCCCATGAACTGGTCTGGTGGTTAGTTTTTCTAAGACTTGTGTGAGTAGTGAACAAGGCAAGTACTGCCACTGAGTGGGACCAAGGATGATGCACATGGAAACTGAAAAACATGTCTATCCGAGCCTTTTTGTGTTTTTAATACTGTTGATAGTCCTAGCTTCCAAGCACCAAGGCAGGTATTAAAAGATCCACTATCCTTCCACTAAAATCATTTATGCATTTCCTGTCATTTATGCAGATAGATTTAGATGTTTTTTTAAATGATGTTCATTTAGTGGAAAAGGGGAAGTGATTTGTGCAAAGTAATCAGAAAAGTTATCACCAAGGTTCCTACTTACCATGTATGCTAGCTACCCCAGTCATTCACCAAGAAAACCCTCAACAGCTGGGCCTGCATGGAGTGGTTATATTTCACGGTTTTTCACAGGGGTTACAATAAACAGTCCCCCACCCAAATGAGGCACCAGGATAGACTCGGAAGCTTAAACAGTAGCCCAGTCCAGCAGCCTGTGCCATCACATGCTATCATAGTCACCTGTCCTTTCCCCTGGGTCAGAAGCCAGGGTTTGGGCAGAGAAATGGAAGGACAAAGAAATGAGTTACATTTCCACCTGAGAAACCTCAGAGGGGAGGACCCAGCCATAGCCTCCCTCCTCCCAAGTGCAAAATGTGTAAACAGTAAACAGAAAACAAACCAAGTGCCCTCTAAGTGGTTCTTTGTCCTGCTCCCCAGGGTGTAGGGCAAAGGTAGAGAGGAGCATAGAAGACAAGCCTGGCTTTTCTATTGGCTAACCACTTGCTGAAAATAAGGAAAAGGGGTAAAGCAGGAAGCTCCAGCCAGGACTCACAGTTTCCACAGCAACAGGCCTCCCTAGAGTGTATCAGGTGAATTGTTCTCCCTGGAGCCTGACTTAAGGCTGGGATAGCCCTATCTTTTTTGATTATGTGGCGCATATATATATTATTTATATAAATATTTTTCTATGTACAGGGAAATAAGTGTGGCTTTCATGGAGGGAGAGAGCCTGGGGGCCGCAAGGCATCGCCGCTGTTTGAGTTGTCCAGTTCCGTGCTGTCACAGTCTGAATCCTCAGAATTAGGAGGGCCCTGTAAAGAAGAGCGTAAACATGCAATGAGGTGTGGGCCCTGTAAGGAGGAGCGTATCTATCGCTTGGCTTCTAAATTGATTCTTTTCAGCTCCTTCATTGGGCATCTGGGTTATGATTCTATACTTCTGGTGGGTTATGATTTTATACTTAGGGATTTCAGTTGATTAGATACTAGGATTTGTCATTGGTTGCAATTAATGGCTATCCTTGTGTATTACATAGAAGACAATACTTGGTGCTCTGTACCTGGTTGTGTGTCAAGTCAGTTCTGATTCATAGTGTCCCTGGATAGGGTTTCTGAGTCTATAAATCTTGATGGGGAGTAGAAAGCCTCGTCTTTCTTCCCCGGAGTGGCTGGTAGATTTAAACTGCTCACCTTGTGGTTGTCAGCCCAATAATGCTGTGACTGCAAGGTTGGTTTAAACCACATTGTTGGTTGGCATTTCAAGCTTACCTGCTGCTCTTCGGAAACTATCTTGCTAGCTTTTAACTCTGGAGGTTATATAACTATATGCTTCCCCCTGTCCTATCTCCCCAAAAGCTGAAATGACCAGCTCTCCAGTCATAAAACTTGGTCACTTTAACTCACCTGCTCCCCTTTGAGAAGTTCCTGCTGTGAGATGGGCAAGGAGCTAGGTTCAGGGCCTAGCAGGTGGGTCCCTGAAGCAGGTGGGTCCAAGGGGATCTCTGAGCCCTGGGAGCACATGTCATCAGATCGTTCATCTGGCCGCTCATCAGTGTTAGTACTGCCAACTTCGGGTGTCCCACTGGGAGAAGGCTCACTAGCTGTGCCTTCCTCCCCATCTGATGGGTTCTCTGAGCTGAAGGTAGATAGTGATTGGCGCATGTTCAGGCCCTGAGGCCACCTATGTAGTGAAAAGAAAAGGACTATAGCTGGACTGTTCCTTACAGCCTGGAAAGTGAAAGAATGCCATTATGACCTTCTGTCCATCTCTCACCTCTGGCTTGATGTCAGCTCTACCTCGCTATCGACCTCACCTTCCTCTTCCTCTGATGAGATGCCTCGTTTCTGCAGGAGAGATGAGAGAGGGGTTGTGGGCAAAAACAGGAAGAGGAAGTTAAGACCCAGAAGGTAACAATTAGAAATGATTAAGTAGGGTATGATTCATGTGGGGGGCTCCTGGTATGGTGGTATAGGATAAGCACTAAGTGGAACCATAAAAGGTTAGTGGTTAGGAAACCCTGTACAGGATTGCTGTGAGTCAGAATTGACTGGATGGCACACTAAGAAAATTAACATGGGGGTTGAGTTAAAAGACTTAGTATCCTGGAGAGGACAGGGCATTAGAGAAAAGGGCTCAGGAACTTTTCCAAACTTACCTGACTTCGGGTAACAGCAGCCCTGTACAGCAGCGCAGCTGGGGTCAAGTGCTGGGCCCCAGCCCGGTTTCCTCCCCGTCCCGCTGTCCCTTCCCTTCCAGTTCCCAGCAGCCCCACACCTTCACCAGGCCCCACTGGTGGAGGTGGCTCCCCTTTTGCTCCTCCAGGTGAATCCGGGCTAGTGGAGCCAGGGGCTGAGCCCTCACTTGGGGGGGTGTCACCCCGGGCTGGAGGAGGTGAGCCAGGGTCCCCAGCTTCCCCTGTGGCTTCCCGTCCCCGGGTCCCCAATGCTGCTGACAGCAGATCAGGGGACGATGAGGACATTTTGCGCAATAGAAGGTCATGGTGGAGCCCTCGGAGGGCTGGGGGGCAGGCTTCCCAGCCTGAAGGCCCCCCTCCCACTCCTCCTGGGCTTTCTGGTCCAGGTTCAGGGGCTGGTACAGCTGCACGAAGCCCAAGCAGGTCCCCACAGCTGCCCTTGGCGCTAGCCTTCCGGTGACGAGTCTTCCCACGCCGACTCCGTCCTGGTGAGGGGGGCCCTTTAGGACAGCCAGGAAGTCCCACACCGCTTAGGGCTGCATCTAGTTTTGGTAGTAAAGACTCTGTCTTGAGGATATCTGGCCTAGTGGGAGAGGCAAAGTGCAAGCTTGAGGTGAACAAATGTGTCCCCTTATCTTATATATACGTCAATGCATAGCTCCTCTCTAAGCACCCTTAGCCTCCTTGCCCACATCATCTTTACAGTTTTTCCCTACCAGAAACCTCAGTGAACTCAAGTCCCACCTTTTGCTATGGGGTGACAGCTTCTGTGGCACATTCCTCTTCTTGATGAGCTTCTCCACTGTGTTCCCATGCAGAAGGCTCCGGGAAGTGTGTGACTTCAGCAGACCTGGGCACTTCCGCTCTAAAGCTTGTTCCCGCCTAAAGACCCAGCCACTTTCTCAGTTGAGAATATATCCAGGAAGGAAGGGAGGAATCTGGGCTTTCTGGAGGCAGGCGTGGTTGTGAAGACTTACAGGGTTAACAAGGACAGGTAGGGTTACCTGAGCAGCTCACGTTCCTTGAGCTCCAACTGCAACATCAGGGCATTGAGTTCCATGTACAGGTTGTTCGCTCGTTCCAGCTTTCGTTCATAGTGTTCCCTGATGTCTAAGGCATGTCTGTGAAGTAGGTACAGAAGGACCACCCCCTCCAATGAGCTGGGTTCACCTGATGCCATAAATTATCCTCTAGTCTTATAGCCCTTGGTATTCACAGTCCATGCTGTCAGTAAAAGTCACCTCCCCAACCAGGGCCTTGAGCTGAAAAATCAACAGTTTAACAAGAACCCTTGTGAAATACAGAATCATTTTGGATCATGTTAAAATGTAAATTCAGTATTTCTTAAGTGGAAAAAAAATTTTCAGGGGGTTGAACTGAACAAGCCCTACCCTAAATACATACCTGAGCTCCTCCCTTCTCCGCATCACCAGCTCTTCTTCAAGGCGATGTAGACAGGTCCCCTCTGACTTAATCTTTTCAAAATGCAACTTTACTTCTTCCCGCCACTCTGCCTGAGGGTGGAGACAGAATATGGGATGAAGGCCATTCTGCTAGGTGATTGCACTTATGTGGATTGGAGCACAGGGTTCTAGGATCTCAGCCCTTCTTGTCTTCCCTCAAAGTGCATCATTAGCTTTGCAAAGAGATATTCATCTGTACCCGCAGCACACCTGGGACTTAAAGTAAGTCTCCTGGGGGGTGGAGAGCACATCGGCTGAGGCAATATCCAGGTGTAGCAGGATCTGTCGGAATGATGGACGGTTTCGGGGTTTGCTGTTCCTGAAGAATGGAGATGAGGAAGAAAATGTCAGGGAGGATTAGATACTTACACCTTTCCCAAAGTGTTCTAGAGAACCTAATTCTGTGATGTGTTAAAAGAATTCCATGGGCAAATCTAGAAGTTAACATTGTCAGTCAGCATTCATCCTTTTCATTCATGGGTCCTCCTCCTCGGGTCATTGATGCTCTCCCAATACTGTCAGTAGCTATACCAGGGCCTTTCATTTTCCATGTCTCACTAGTTCTTACTAGCAACCCTACATAGAAGATACTGTTTACCCTTGCTTTTACAGATGCAAGAACAGTATTAGAGACTATGTCATTTGTACAAAGTACAGAACAAGAAGGGTTAGGTGACAAGAAACTGATTCATATGCACTACACCACCTCTCAGGTGTAGTATACAATCCCTTTCCCCCTCTTGCTTCCTAGCTTCACCAGGCCCAGTTTCCCAGCCCTGGCAGTCCTTCCTCACCAGCATTGGCGAAGGAGAATTTTGAAGCCATCTGGGCAGCTAGAGGGCACTGGCAGGTGGAGACTGTTGCTTCCCACACCCCATATGATAGCTGAGGAGTCTACATCTTTGTAGGGGATCTCGCCAGTCAGCAGTTCCCACAGCACCACACCAAATGACCTAGGGATAGGAAGGAACATCACTCTGGAGGGACTCCTTCCAGAGACCCTTGTCGCTCCAGGTCTGCCCATCTCCCCTTAGTGCTGACTCTTCATCCTTCTCTCTCTGCCTGGTCCTTACCAGATATCCACCTTCTCAGACACAGGCTCATTTCGGATCACCTCAGGAGCCATCCATGCGACTGTCCCTGCAAAGGACATCTTGGTGCTCTTGTCACTCAGCTCCTTGGAAGTGCCAAAATCTGAGATCTTCACCACATCGTCATACGTAATGAGCATGCTGGGGGAGAGTGTAGTCAGCTGGGGTCCAGACCCCTCCACATAGCTCATCATATACACTGCAGTAACTGTACCTTTCTTTCTGAAATCATTTGGGGACACCCAGAGGCAGGGGCATCAACACAATCCTTTTGAGAATGGTCATTTGGGAAGGGATTCAGAATCTAGATGATTCTGAAATGGCCATTTGGACTTGTCAGGTTCTGGAAACCTGGAGGTGGCCACAGTGGTTTGGGTAGGACTACCTGCTGGAGACCATGCACATAGCTTCTCCTTGCTCACTTGCTTACTCACTTGGGGGACTTGAGGTCTCTGTGGATAATCTTGTGCAGGTGCAGGTAATTCATGCCACCAGCAATGCCCATGGACCAGTCAACCAGCAAAGAGGGGGTGACAGGACGGCCAGCTCGCAGTACCTCATACAGCTGGCCCTGGGCGCAGAACTCCATGAGGATGCAGTAGCAGGGAGCCTGGGTGCACACACCCCTGGGGGCCAAACAGTGGTATAAAGGCCTCAGGCAAGCAGTCTTCATGTGGTTTGCACCTGGAGCCCCATTCCCATGCACACTACTTTGGAATCCAGTGCTGCAAGATTAGGGGAAGTTCCCTGCTCCCCAGGGGAGTCCAACCCTTAGTGTGTGTGTCCCCACTCCCTGCCCTGGACCTCACTTGAAAGTGATGATGTTGGGGTGCTTCAATTTGCGTAGATGTTTGATGTCAGTCTCCTTGAGGTCCCGCACCTTCTTCACAGCCACCTCTTCCCCGTGGAATCGCCCCAGGAAGACAGCACCCTGGGCCCCTGAGCCCACCCACTGCAGGTCCAGGATCTCCTCAAAGGGGACCTCCCAAAGGTCTGTGGACAGGAGGCACAGTGCCACCAGGTTCAGCAAGAGCTGCACTCAGGGGCAGAAGACCCAGGGCAAAGCACTGGGTTGGCTGAAATGACTCAAGGCGAGTGATGCAGAAAAGTCGCGGGAACAGGTTGAGAACTAGGTTTGAGGGGATGGAGAGAACCTGGGAAAGCAGAGGCTGACAGCTCTGGAGGGAAGGGCTCACTGTATGACAAGTGGGGCTCTCAGGAAGACAGGGAGGGGCTCTCAGGAGGACTTGGCCTACCTTCCTGCTGCTGCTTGTGCTCAGTGGAGTAGGCTTTGCCGATCATGGTCCAGACAGGTCGCAAGCAGCCAAAGAGGCCTTCAAGGAAGCCACTACCGCTCTGGCACTGCAGCCGGACTTCATCAGCTCGAACTCTGGATGCTCGACTCTCAGGGGACCCAGCTGCTCCCCCTGGGCCCCCTGCTTCCTGCTCATGGAGCTGCAGGACACTGTTGGCAAAAGGCTCAGGGGGCGGCTCTCCACCTGGGGAGGGGCTGGGCCCACCCCCGCCCTGCCCACCAAGAGGCACTACATCTCGGAGTACACACTGGGTTGGTGTCAGGTCCTTCTCAGGCGTGCAGTCAGAAGTGTCTGGGTCAAGCTTGCGCATAGATGCCTCACTGAGGGTCGACACAAAGCCTCCAAAGGAGGGGGAGGGGGTACGGGTCTCATGGAGGCAGGCCATGGCCTCTGAACCCTTTTGTGGTCGTCAGCGATGGGCCCTATAAAAATAAAGGAAGGCTTGTTAAAGCCACAGGCTCACCAGTCAAGGATGGGACAGGTTGGGGAGCTGGACTCACAACGTTCCTACTGGAAAAAAACACTTCAGCCTCAGCCTGAGTTCTCATCTCCCTCCAAGTTTTACCTGTACCCATCTGATACACCTGGGCTTCCTCTGAGCCATCTATTAGTAACATAAGCTTGCCTTAGGTAGACGGTAACATACCTGAGTATCATTCTCAAGTTGAAGGTAAGCTACATTCAGTTCTATACTGGTGAAACAATGGTAGCAGATCACTTCCTTTCTCCCTGTAATTCACCCTTGAAGCACAGGTTTCTTTCACCTGAGGTTTACAGACACACATGGGCCATGAAAAGTTTCAACCTTAGGCACACACTGAAAACATTTAGACCTGCATATAAACGCGCACATAGGTGCACTGGTAGGTTCCCACGCAGGTACTCGGCCCTCTCAGGAAGCCTCTACTCAGGTGAGAGTCTTATCTTACATATGGGCCTCATTCTTAGGTGCACAACTTGGCCTGCCTGTGGTCTGTGTAGGTACTAACTACATCCCCCATCACCTCTCTAGCACCTTTGGTGGAAAAGATACAGAAGTTGTGTCAGGACAAGGATTGTGGTCCAGTGTTTCTTCCACCTGAGGTTTATATGCATACATGTCCCAATTCAGAGCTGTACAAAGTATAATCTAGCTATCAGGTACAGTGAACTCTAACCTGTTCTTTCTTTCACATATTGTCAGTGACCAAACCTCTAATTGTTCCTCATAGCAGGCTCCTATACCCCCCCTCCCCCATACCAGAATCTTCTGGGAGTGTTGATCATAAACTCTGAATCAACACTAGGCAAGAATTGCACATAAAAAGGAGTCCCTTAATGACAGACACATGCATGAAGTTTGGGCCCTCTGATCAGATCCCTTGAAATTACTTTTTCAGTGGATCTAGGGAATGCCATGGAGTCCAGGTGTGGCACTGTGAGTTAACGTGCTGGACTGCAAAGGTGGTTTGAACTGCAAGGTCAGCAGTTCAAGCTCACCAGCTAGCTGCTCCTCGGAAACCCTATATAGGGTTGCTATAGGTTGGAACCGACTCGAGGCACTTAACAACTACAAGGGAGCACTGAACTGAACCACAAGGCTGGTGTTTGAGCTCACTAGTTGCTCCCTGGAAGAAAGGTGAGGCTTTCTGCTCCAGCAAAGATTTACAGCTTTGGAAACTATACAGGGTCACTATGAGTTGGAACCAAGTCAACAGCACTTAACAACAGGAGTACGTGCAGTTCCTGGGTTAGGAAAGAGATCAGTTACTGTGTCTTTTAAGAATTTGTAGGTAAGCTTACCAGGTGCATACTCCCAAGTTCTTACTTTAGCCTTTGTTGTTGTTAAGGGCTGTTGCATCTGTTCTGACTCATAGTGACCCTGTGTAGGGCTTCCATGTGTTTAAACCATGGATCTTGTTGTTACCAGTGCAGTGCTTATCCTATAGTGCCATACCATGGCTCTATCTTAGCCTTTTATTCTAGTCAGAGCAGCTAGTGGGTTTGAACTGCTGACCTTGTGCTTCACAGTCCTGTGCTGATCCTACAGCACCACACCAGTTCACTTTAGCCTTTAGTGCAAGAAAAGTTTCTAAGTGTCAATGATTTAAAAGCTGAATGTGCAGTTAGTAAAGTGATTGTGATGAAGAATTTGAAGGATTGAGTAGATCCTTTTGAAGTGAGGGCAAATTTACATATAACATTAAAGAGCAAGTAGACCATTAAAGAGCATGCAGTAGGATAAACACTGCATCAGTAACCAGAAGGTTGGCTGGTTCAAACCCACCAGCCCCTCCCCAGAAGCCCTATACAGGGTTGTTATGAATTGGAATAGATGGGACAACACTTCGAAAACAGAAGGCTAAAATGGAGTCATAATGAAAGTGAAGTATGGCTCTATACTGATAACCACAGGGTTGGTGGTTCAAACTAACATGACTGCACTTAATGACAAGTTGTCCATAGCGTAGTGGTTACGAATCGGGCTGCGAACCTTAAGTTCAGCGGTTCGAAACTACCAGCCGCTCCGCGGGAGAAAGATGAGGCTTTCTACTCCCGTAAAGATTTACACCCTCGGAAACCCTGTACA